CTGACAACGTTACACTCATAACTATTCCCTTGAAGGCTGATTCACTCTACACTTACCATTTCCATCAAGTTAAAACTACAGCATCATCACTACAAGGTGGCTTTTACAATCGCTGACTGCTGCTATAATGAGATCTACTACAGCAGATAGATGGGGACACTTTTCCATCCATCTCTACTCTGCTTGTGCCACCGTGTGCTCATTTGATTCATGTGTGCAAACTGCAGAGGAGAGGAGGAGAGGAGAGGGGAAGAGAAGAGAAGAGAAGAGAAGAGAAGAGAAGAGAAGAGAAGAGAAGAGAAGAGAAGAGAAGAGAAGAGAAGAGAAGAGAAGAGAAGAGAAGAATTCCTGTAAACCACCACTGATTCCCAGCATTTGTATCTTGTTGGCTCAGCAGCAGCGGTAGCCAAAGTCATCTTCACCCCGGCTGTATTTATTGTTATACTGCTCAACCACACTGTTACTGGCTTCATGTCTTTTCTTATCCATGCACATGATCAAAAGAAACCGTAGATCAGATACACATGAAAAGTGGGAGGAAGGAAAAACACGCAGGACCGAAATGTGTTGTTTTTATTTAAATAAAAAAGCGACCGGAAAAGATGAATCAATTGAGAGAGGATGAAATTTAAATTAGTTGAAGGTTCCTTTTAATAACTGCACAATTTATTCCACCATTTATCGGTGCTCATACTGTAGCAAGCAGCGCATCCAAATTTATTTCTGAGGATGATTAAGGATAGATTTATGGGGAGCTGAATAATAATACAAATACTCTGAGTTAAGATAAGTGTGATCTGGCAGACATGTATTGATATGTACTGTATTTGTGGCAGCGGGACCGAAAACCATTCCAATACCAGAACCCACCAAACATAACACACGTGGTTTGTATTGAGAAAGCCTTTTATGAGTCGGATCCCATTTTTGCTTTCTAATCATGTTTGCTAAGTTGTGAGTTCTGGGTGGGCCACTTCATGTGCTGCACTTGATACGCTGTCACTCAGCAGAGTCAGAAAAGGACACATGGTTGAGAAAAACAAGCTTCATTTTTTGATTGGCATCTGTGTGGGTCTGAGCAGAAGTGACGGGACCCCTGCTGCGTCTTTTAAAGTTTTGTTTGAAAAGTACATTTCTTTTTAAATTGAAGATTAAATTACTATCATGGGAGCATGAGGGAAATTCCCAACAGCATCAGGCTTTGCGGTGAATGCCACAGCTGGATGGTTTGTAACAACTTGGAAGAGACTTCCACAGCAGATGCAAACACTTCAATAAGTCTTTGGGATGGAGTTTGTTATAGAGTGCGGTTTAGGCTGCAGTTTTCTGTGCTATCCCATCTACATCTGAGAGAAAAACTAACCGAGCCTGACAGACATTCTGTTTTTTTGTTTTTGTCCGAACCCACTCAGAGCCCGATGTTATCCTTGATTACAGGCACATTCAGCTTAAAAGAATTAAGTAGATAGTCCAGCCAATGTACCGAACCAGACTCAAACTTGAATATCATTTCAGAGTGTTAGTCCCAATGGGCTCAGGTCGGGTCTACACTCTTTGGTCTTCATGCTCAAGACAGGAGAGTAAAAGAGCCGATCAGCAGACTGCCTGCAGTCTGAGGCTGAAAAGGAAAATTAGTTATCATAGAAAATTGATGAAGGAGTTTATCGTTAAAGTTCTCTGTTTGTGACTTGTGCTCCTTACTTCACACCCCCAAATGTTTCCTTTTAAGATGTTATCACTGGGTTGATCAGAGGATGGAGCTTGTTCCGCCCCTGATGGTGGAGCTGTGGTCCTGTAATGTGATTAAAATGTTCTATAAAGAGAGCTTTGCTCAGTCTTGTCTTATCTTTTTATTCACAGTTGCAATGTGATGCTGCCTCCTTTACTCAATGAAGATATCTGATAGAAATCTGATACATGAATGAGGCTCTCTATGACCAGCCATTTTGAAGGACATCTAAGAAATATTAATTTTCTTTTCAAGGTTTGAGATAAATTCATGAATGTGATGCTTTATCCTGCTGATTACGCTCTTGCCTGTTGAAACACAGTCTGAATCCGGCTGTTTCACTCCTGGGCTGCTTCGATACCTCACATTTGCTCAAACACGTGAAAAATAGATACTGTTTGGGACTTCAGTGTGTTTTACTCACCGTTACTCCTGGCTCTCCTCTGTCTCCTCTGGCTCCCCTTATACCTGGACCTCCCTGAAACACAGGTAACATAAAAAAAAAAGTTTTCAAAAACAGGCCATAATCAATTCTGTGCCTAAACTGTCTGAGAAACAGGGAAATTGTGGTGAATCTAATAAAACTGGAAGTGCACAGCTCTTCTGATATGTCTGGATTATAAATATGATGGACAGAGGCCAGTGGTGATCTGCTGTAAACTGTTCCTCTGAGCTCTGCACTTCATTACTCTGCATCTGTGGGTAACAGCAGGAGTCTGGAGCTGTAAACCCTGGGCTGACCTCTCAAGCCCTGAGGTTTATCCGGGGACAAACCGCACACATCTGTTAATCATTGGCCCATTTGGGATACATCCTCTTCCTGTGTTTTCTTGAATAGGTCTCCCCTGGGAGCAGGGTGGGGGCTAAGGTAGTTCCTACAGTATTTAGCCAACGTGCATCAAGGGAGAGGATAATGAGAACGGACACACAGACATAGTAAAAGCAATAGTTGAGTCCTAATGGAAGAACTGTAGATTATCTCTCTCTCTCCTTTTAATATAATTTTGTATTACTTTAATAGACAATACCAGTGTACATATAAAATACATATATAAGTTGATACACCCAAACTATTCCCTCATATACAGTAAGTTTGTCCTCTTGATGATTTGCTTTATCACTCTGAGTTAGAGACATCAAGTCTTTGAACGCTTCAGTCTCTTTTATGGAAAATGTCCTCGTATTTCTGGAACAAGGTTTGTTGTCGGGTCACAAAGCCAAAATGCTGAACACTGAAATCGTCATCTGAATATCAGCATTGTCTGAACTGAAATGCAATTTTGCACAGGAGGCAGACTTTTGTCCTCCATCATCATCCATCAACAGCAGAGTGTCGCTGGAGAAGAGCGAGGGAAGAACTAAAGCAACCAATTACTCTTCCAACAGAATAAATAGTATATGAGAATTGAAAAGAATTTACTTTAAAAATGCAGAAATTATCCTTTAAATTACTTTTTTTTATTCAAATGCAACAATTGCCTTTGCAAATTCACGTCTGGGAAGAGAACCTGTTACTCAAAATGATTGATTTTGTTTGTAAATTCAGCAATTTGTCTCTGCAAGAGATTTTAAATGGATTTTTTAAACAATGTGTATCCACGAACTGTTGGGAATACAGACCTGCAGAGAAACTGAAATTATCTTTATATACAAATAACTTGTGTTTTGATTTTTCAAGGGAAGAAAATGCAAAGCTATTTTCATTTAACTGAGCAATTTGATGGTAGAAGCAAAGTAAATTTTTTTGTAGTAACATTTGGATCTCAAACAGCAGGGGCATAATTCAGTTTTAACAAGCAGAGATGGTGGGTAGAGAAAGTGATGTCAGATTGATTGCCTCAGTCGAGTCTGTGCCAAATCAGGAGGCACAGACTGCGATTCAGCTGAGGTGATCAATATTACTTCAGAGATGACTCAAAGATTTAGAAAAGTGAAGTAGTTTGCTGCTGTGCAAGGAAACATTTACAGTGAAAACTGGCATATAAATTAAACTTAATAAATAATAAAATAACATTGTTTTGAATGTTTACTTCCACCTTTCTATGTGGTGGTGATCAAACTATAGCGAATCTGTTCCGAAAAAAGGATATCATATATAAATAGAAAAATAATTCTAATTCTCAAATTTTTTTTAAATTTTAAAATCAGCTACTGTGTTTATTTGATGATAATTCTTTGCTCTCCATCTCATTTTGCCTCCAGTTGTCTCTTCCCGACAGCATCATGTGGGTTAAGACATTACATTAGGTATCTCCATATAGAGCCAAGTATTTAGTTTGCTTTATTCCAATACTTCACTTATCGCAGCGCACTGAGTCCCGACAGCACAACATCAAATTCTGTTTACATCCGATGTTTACTCTTTGACTCTCTGTGTTCACAGTCTGTCAGGAAAGCTGAAGGTTTTCCTGTCTGTCTGAACCTTCTTCTTCCGCAGTGGGATATAATACATTTATTCTGTTAACAACCATTATGTTGTTTTAACAAGGGGAACGGCCTCGTCTTTTCATCCTTCCTCAAAGCCCCACTGACTGCAGCGCGCGGTTTTAGCAGAGAAGTGGCCATGATTTTGTCAATAAACCATTCATCTACTCCTATATGTGCAGATAAAATGTGATTTAAGGCCCCATTCATTGCCGGAGAGAGAAACAGACACAGACAGAGAGACAGACGGAGGCACACAGAGGTATAAAATGAGAGCGATCGAGAAGAAGCGCCTCAGGCTCTGGGATGAATTGGAGGCAAAATATAAAAGAAATGAGAAAAAGAGAGGGACAAGAGAATGAAAAATAGAAAAGGAGACAAGGGGTGGAGGTTACAGAAGAAATTACAGTAAAGAGTGTGGAGAGAAAACCACAGAATGTTGAGACAGTTTTAGTCTTCTTTTATTGTAAATGAAAAGAGAAAATTTAAATTAAGCTCATTTATCACACAGTTTTCACACAATTTTTGAATTAAATTCCAACTTACTAGCCATTAAAAAATAATTTCAATTTGAGCTAATATTTACCTGTAATAAAGGCCATTGATAGATAGAGAGATAGAGGGAGCTATAGAGAGGAATATTGGAAATAGAGACAGACAGAAAGACAGACAGACAGATAGATAGATAGATAGATAGATAGATAGATAGATAGATAGATAGATAGATAGATAGATAGATAGATAGATAGATAGAGAAGAAGGGAGGGCTGTGGATGAGTAAGTGAATGTGGATTGTCAGACGGGGATAAAAACTGGGCGACTTTAACTGACTGTGATTAGTTTTTCAGACCGTTCCTATGTCGATCCACAATCCCCCCCTTGCCCTCAGCCCCACAGGCTGGAGACAGAGAGAGAGAGAGATCTTAAGAAAGGAGAAATAATAGGAGAAGAAGAAAGAGGTAAAGAGGTGGATGGAAAGGAATGAAGACATCAAATAGGAGATAGAGAGATAAAGAGAAAAGAAAAAGAAGAGAGAGAATATAGACAAAAAGTCTCAGGTAGTAAATGAGCTCATTTACTTGCTCTCATCTTTCAGCCTCTATCAGGTTTTACCTCCTGCTATGTGAGATGAATACAGCTTCTCTTCGAGATCATCCCTCTTTCTCTAATGTCACCTCAACGCCTGAAGACTTCTCATCCTTTTTTTTACCCTTTTTTATTTCTGTATCTATGTGATCTTCAAATCAAAATGATTTTAGATCAGTTTCTTGTTGTTTGCTCTTCAAACGTTTCCTGTTGTTTGCCTTTTAATTTAAAATTTTTAACTTGTAAAGCAGCCTTTAACTGTGTTTTGAAAGGGACAATATAAACAAAGTTTATCATTATAAATTATATTTACATCAACATTATAGCTTTAAAAACAACTGGTTTCAGATGTTAATGGATCAGTGACAAAAGACAATAAAATAAGATGGACCGATATATTGAATATTTCAATCAGGCCTGGTTTAACCACTGTCGTTAAGCCTCCAACCTTTCGTCATTACAAGCTGATATTTTAAATGTTTTGATTATTTTATGTGAGAAATGTATTTTTAATGTCCTATTATATCTGCAAACCAGCATCCAACTGCCTGTGAGGGGCCACTAAAGCGTTTTGAATTGCGGCTTTTGAATCGACTTTCTAAACATTCAATAGTAAATTCCACAGATGGAAATGAACCTTTTTACAAAGCTGCCAATGTTTGTCTCACTTTGAAATGTACCAGCAGGATCCATTATTGACAGTCTAAACCCCTTTTCTGGAATAGATACAAACACAGGCACTCAAAGAGAGAGTGACTAAGTGACACGAGGGAGAAGTGAAAATGAAAATGAAAAAGCTTGTAAAGAAATACATCGAGATAGGAAAACAGTGTGTAGAGAGGAGGGGTGCACCGAAGAAAGATGAGGAAAGGTTCTTCAAACTAAAGAATTTGGATTATTATAATTGAATCAAATAATTAAACGTATGTCATGAAGCAGCGTGGGATTATGAAAGTTGTTTTCTTCACCACCATTGTGGATAAAAATCTACCTGAAGCAACTCAGGCGAAGATTAAGATTCATTCACATTACGCTGCAAACAACAATGAATAATCATGATCGATTACAAGTGACCAATACAAACAGTGAAGGGAAAAACCAGTGTTTTTCCTTCCTTATGCATTGTTTGCCCAGAAAGTTTTAGCAAAGACGCACAAAGCCACAGTAGAAGTGAATATCACGCAATTAAAAGACGACCAAAATGGAATGTCCTGTCACCTTGAATAAAATTGGGTATTTCTCTGGGTTTGAACATTGTTGGGAACATTTTGTATAATGTAGGTACACAAGTCAACAAAATATATAACATAGGTCTAGTCAGGTTTAGAATATTTTATCTTTTAATTAGTTAATTAATAAGAAAGAGTGTTTCTTACAGGGGGTCCAGAGGGTCCCGGGGGTCCTTTGCTGTCCTGGGAGCAGGTGCAGGCATGAGGCATGGAGGGGCACTGCTCCTCAACTCTCTGAGGACACACACACACACACACACACACACACACACACACACACACACACACACACACACACACACGTTAGATATATGTAGAGTTTGACGACTGTAATATACTGGCTGTGTTTCTAACAATAAGCCGACTTTGCCTAATGTGGGGTGGACAAAAAATTGAAACATGCTCTATCATTGAATGTATATGCAATACATGACCACCAACTAATACAACCTAAATATGACCACAGAGTGAAATAAAAAACATTTTTGACCTCTCTGCGTAGGAAGCACAAGCTGAACATTATAATCATCACAGGGATATTACTTTGTAGTTGCATCAGGTTTTACAGTTGTATTTAATTAAAAGGGAACTCAGTGTATCTGTTTGTTGAGTGGGTTTGTATTTTATAACTTTATAGTTAATTGATCATTGTGTTTTCAGACAGAGAGACTCTCAACATGCTGATTAGTGGAATTTCAATTTACATAAATTAAATTACCCACCTGACCACAGGCTCCACTTACAGTGACCAGTGCTGATACTCATTGATTCAGTACAGAGTTCTTGGCTTTAATCCTGGTTTCATCATATCTCAGTTTAATCAAAACCACTTTGCACTCACAGAGATACACAATTATATATCATAGTGAACTCGAGCAGGTCTGTATAGTGTGTGTGTGAGTGTGCGAGTGAGAGAGTACATGTGTGTGTTAGTTTCTTACTAATGCTGGCAGCTCACAACACTTATCTCTGCTGGCCCAGGATGTACTGCAGATGATGTCGAACATCTGGAGCTGGAACTGTAAACACACACACACACACACACACACACACACACACACACACACACACACACACACACACACACACACGATATGTTGCAATGATGTAGTTTTGATAACACTTTGACCCACATCTCTAATGAAGCTGAAAGTACTGGAGTCTCCTCTAATCTCAGACTGTAAACCAGGCTCTGATTAATTTCTTACATTTAGCTTCAACACTGAGGAAGGTGCCTGCTGACATACACAGTTTATTTTATCAGAAGGGCAGTGTTGAGGATATACCATGTCTGACTATTCAGAAACCAGACGTCCCCCATTACCTCAACCATCAAATATTTATATCAAACTTAATATATGTATACATCACAGACACAAATTAAACTATGGAAAACTCCCACACCGAACAAAATGACTGTGAAAGTGTTTTATCTTGAGAGTTAAAAACACACAGACACATCATTAGAGAGCAAAAAGAAATTCTGTTGACTGGTGGAAAACTGTCTGATAATGTGTTTTTCTTCATTTACGGCCCCTGGAATTCTGACGTACAGTAACCATTCTATAATTGAACCCAAAGTTGAAATATCCCAGGCTCAGCTAAATTAATTTAAGTTAAAAGGAACTCAAAGTCCTTATTTGCCATGTCGTCATTTTTAAATGCCACATCTTTAATACCACAAACAGCCTATTTATTGGAAAATTCATGACAATGAATGAACAAAAATGTTTTTATGCCTGAAGAGAAAAGTCTGGCCTTGTAGCCTGTGTGTAAAAGACTTATCCTTGTAATTAGAAACCTGCTATCACAGAACCACAGGGCGTCTCTGAGCACTTTCAGTCAAACTGGAACTAACATTGAAACTGATTGAAAACCTGATTGTTGTGTATTCATGCTGATTCATGCTCATGTTTGTAATCCCCTCAATAAAACTCATCCCCTCACAAGCTCACTCTCACTATGAATTCTATGAATACAAGACTCGCCTAATGATAATGATTCATTGTGTAGTCTGAAACAAACTAGTTCTTAAAAAAAACAAAGCCTCTGCAAATTAGAAGCATATAAATAATACAAACTGTGATTTGTTTGATGTTAGATGCCATTAGGTTTCATTGTAACATATTTTTAAATCAATAATCATCCAATTAACCCGTCAGTTAGTCAGTTTTAAGATGATTTCCAGCTGATGATTTTCTCTAGGGTTAGGGTTAGCTAACATGTCAGAGATATAAATGTAGTAACAGTTACACTAAGTCTTCCCAGAGGTCCAGGATATCTCACCTTCTCCCCAGCCTGTTATTTTGAGTGCCTCTACGACACAGCTAAAAAAGTATGGCTATGTAAATCACACTGTACAGTTCCACTAGTGATATAGTAAAATTAACTACAACTCACTAAAACGATTCTGGATTTTTATTGCACAAAGGGACAATTAGAACTGACACATTATTATTGCTTACTTTTTGGTTTACGTCAGCCAACCAGGCTAAGGATGTAAGTAAGAGAATATTTAAAAAATCAAGAGATTGTTTTTAATGAAATATGTGGAGCTGGTTGGAAAATAAAAAAATAATTTTACTTAATTTTCATTTTACTCGTTTAACTTTAAAAATGGTCATCTTCTTGATTATGCCCAACCACTTGTGCCCCACTGTTTTGATAATCCCTCTATACATAATGTCTAGAGGATACTTTTAAAATTTCCATGAACAGAAGGAATCCTAAACTAATATGCAATCACTGTTCATCCATTGTGCCCTTCACAATAATGAAGACAGGACTGGGTACTGACCGGAGCAGAGTTGTCCTGTGTTCCTCTGAACATCCTTCCCAGGATCTCCACCCCGTCTGTGGTGATGTTACCGGCTGCGTTGATGGATTTCTCCCCAACTGCAGAACAATCTAACACCACTTTCACCGATGTCTTACTGATGATCACATGGAGCTGTATGGGAGACAGAGAAAAAGGTGCATTAGAAATAATTTGGAGTATGTCCCCAACAACAGAGAAACTCCTATGTTCTGACAAATCTTGAGATTAAGATCCAAATGGACACTCGACTTTATTTTTCAAGTATTTTATCTCAATACTCTCAAAAAGTAGTTTTTTTTTGTAGCACTAACATTATTTACTTAAATATATCAAGACAAAACTACTGAAAAGACTGAGACAAAAAACAGAGTTGTCATTTTAAATGGAATGTTCCAGCATCTGTATTCATCCAAAGTGAAATTGTTGAGACCGTCTCCTGTGGGTATGTGCATCAACTACACGCCACATCATTTCTTACTGATCAAAGTGACACTAAATTCCCTGTGTATGTGGATTATTATATATTCTAAGCGCTCAAATTAGCCTGTCCAGTCCAAGTGTCTGTGAGTTTAACCTGTCTCCTTAGAGGAGGCTTCAGTCGGTGCCACGAACCATGAAATTCAACTAGTCACATGTTTAATGATCAAAGAGCGCTGCATTTGCAATAAATGAAAGTTATCAGCAGCCGTATGATTCATGGTTTTGAGAACTTCTATTTCATACTTTTTCTCTTTTTGTACCCTTAGTGATAATACATGTAATACTGTAAGTTATAGGAACACTTATACACATACACATGCATGCATACATGCACGCACACAAACACAGTTATGAGGTGCAGCTAATGTGGAGCTAGACAAAGTTCATATTTGAGTGTCAGCTCCCATTCCCCTGGCTGACATCTGGATGGCTGCTTTCTAATGACTTTCTGTTTTCATCCTCCATTCTGCACACTTCATTGAGCATGGTGTGTGTGCGTGCGTGTGTGTGTGTGTGTGATGTACTTTTGTTATATAAAAGATCAAATCCTCTAAGGTGGTGACATTTTGCTGGTATTTTGTGTTATTTAGTTGTTCCAGTTTCAAGTAGTATTTGTGGCTATAGTGAATTAATAAAAGGCAACGAAATGAAACAGTATTTTAGTGTGTGTGCGTGTGCGTGCGTGCGTGCATGTGTGTGTGAGTGTTTGTGTGTATGTTTACAATTCCAGCTCCAGATGTTAACATTGTCATTCTCTCTCCTTCAGGCTGGTTCTTTCATTTACTCCAGCAGTGACTCAGATTAAAATTTAGTCTGGAGGTAGTTTATTCATGAAAATAGACAATTTGAATTATTCCTCTATTCTCAACAATAGTGGCAGACATCAGAACAGATTTTTATACACGTGGCCAGCATCTGGGGTCATAAAGTGCAATACTCTCCCTACTGTTTCAGTGCTATATGTTTTAAAGTCCTAGTTATATCTGAGAGTGAACATCGTGGGAGTTTATTGTTCTGATAGCTGCTGCAAGTGGTTATGTAATTTTACATACAGATTAATTTGAAAAGTCTGCACTTTATTAAATTACTACATTTTTAGGGCACGGTCACACATGTACATGAATGTAGCAGAGACGAACCTTCACTTCCAATATGTGCGAGCGAGGGGGCAAATAAAACATCTTGAGATGAAGCAAATCTGCAGCATGGCTTCACGTGGACTTCAACTTTGACAAGCGACTTCACAGCGTCAACCAATCGAACCAGTGTCGAACCAGCCGAAATAAACTATCCCATAAAAGGGAGCCTGTCTGGCAGTGAGTCCAAATTAAACTTTCTCCACATATTTATGTTGGTCAAGCAATGTGCTCACATGACAGTATATCTGAGAGCAGCAGAATAAAGGTCAACCCACATACCCACTCATCCAGAGGCTGACGAGCAGTAACCTCAAATTTCAGACTTCGGATCAGTTTTGGCTCAACAACAAAGAAATATACAAAAAAACAGCGCTGACCACGAGAAATGAGGGTGAAATATGAGAACAATAAGCAGCATGTTTTTCGCTGCACGCTGCTGCTGCTGCTGCTGCTGCTGCTGGCAGGTCAGACGGTTGGTTTCTGTCCACAGGATTCCTCCACAGCTAATACTACTGCCAGCACAAGATGAATTAGCCTTCCTCTCTTCCTTCCTCTCACACACACATATTCAGATAAACAGACGTTCACAGTCTAATGCTGCTGCTGTCTTACCAATCAGTGTCATCTGTAATATAGAGCACCTCATTTCTTTGCACCTCTCCGTCGGATGGTTTTGAGAATTCGTCTTTCCTTATCATGTTTCATACAAAAGACAAATGACTTTTTATTGTATGAGCCGCTGACAGTGGTTCATTGTCTTTGTCATATTGCACATTTGACTTAGGTAATCTCACACAGTGAACATCGCTGCTGGGTCTGATAGCAGAAACAGTGAACCAACAACTCAACGTTATCTCCAGTGACTGGAAATGTCAAAACAAAATCAACATTATAATACAAGACAATTTAGGGGACAGCAATATTCTCCAAAATTCTCAACCCAATTATGATTATAGTTTGAATAAGTCGCTGCATTGTAAACAGATTACTATTAAGACATTATTAAGATAATATTATTATCTTAACCTAAATAAGTTATTAGAGTAATCGACCTTAGTCTCATTATTCAACATTAATACATTTTCATCACATTATAACATTCTATTGGAGTTTTTGCAGCATTTACCAACTGATTGACGCCATAAATCACACTATGCTATATAACATTTAAAGTGGAATATGAATGGAATATTCTTCCTGCAACTCATGTAAACATTATATTCAAAATGTCTTATTCAGAATATAGACAATATTTTGGTATTGTTGTCCATATACATGTAGTCACTGTCCCCATGGGGAAAACTGTCAATGACTGACACAACCAAAAATTAAAACATACTGCACCTTAAACATACATGTAATATGACAATTCTTACACATCTTGCACATATTGCATGAGCAGTGATGAAAAGTTTATGATGGCAACAGTGTAAGGCCTCATTATTATGAAGAACATCCGATGAGTCCGAAAATATTCTGTGAGCTTCCCTCAGAATGCTCATATACTGACTGGAGGGAATGTTCATTCCTCCCCATAACTTTCATGCAGTGCTGTAACCAGACGAGTGAGCTTAAATTTTAACGGTACAGTGAAACTGCCATGCCATGCTGACACCCCAAACAAGACTTTGCTCTCTAATGCAGTCTGGTACAATAAAAACAAAATCCTCTAGTTCGCCCTGAGTCGTGAGGAAGCTTGTGCTGCAAATGAGGATGCACGCTCGAAAGAACGCTGGACTTCAAGTGAACTCCAGCGTGTTAGTGGGAGCCGATAATGATCATGTGTAACCACTGGACGATGATCCCCCTCCGACCTGGAATCCTGAACCTTCTCCTCAGTTTTTCTCACATTTATAATGACATGGTTGGACAGGCTACAAGTCTTTCTGGAGGCTGACATATAGAGACACTCACATTCATACCTACGGTTCATTTAGTGTCTCTGATTAACCTAACAGCAATCTTCATGTGTTTGGACTGTGGGAGGAAGCTGGAGAGAACCCATGCAAACACAGAGAGAACATGCAATATCTACACAAAAAGGCGACTGCCGAAACACGATTCCACTTGGCACATTCTTTTTGAGAGGCTAACCACACCATCGTCGTGGTTAGCGACTTAATAGTCAAATAGTTGATACTGTTAATCAGCTCCCACCCATCCCTGTAGGCAAACAGGAGGGGATCGAGTACAGAGTTGACCTCTGCCGTGAGTACAGACATCATGTATTTTTTAAAGCATTTCATAACAATCGAAGTCAGAGCCTCGGGTCTGTCATCATTATTTTCAGTCGGAAAAAGTTTCTTTTGAACTGGAATAATGATGGATTCTTTCCAGAGGGTAGGCACAGTGTGTGAATCCAAAAACAGCTGGATAACATGGGGCACATGCAGGAGGAAGCTCTTCTGGGCGGCTTTTTGAGAAAAGAGCAGAGGTGTCAGTAGTAAGGCTTATTGTTGGAGTAAACTGTGATGTCCTACTGCACTATCCACACAAATAATCCCCTGAGTGTCTGTGTTTTCTAACAGGCACAGTCCTGGTCTGTGCTTCACCAATCTTAAAATAGAGTCTTTTACCTTGAAACTTGGTGGACTGTATTATAGTCAGGATTCGACAATAGGGGGCCGCACATGGGCAGGGTGGCTGTGGGACAGGCTCTAAAAAACAATCCATGGGTAAGAAACACTTTCCTTTTAACCAAAACGCATAAGAAAAATGGCCGCCTGACTTGCCAATACTTCAGCTCAGGGTAATAAACAACAAAATTGTGGCTATGGAAAATCCCTACACGTATTTGCAGAACAAAAATCCTGCGTAAAACAACAGCTCATTGCGAGAAAGTTAAAACGCTTTTCATCCATTAATATCGATGTAAGCATTTGCGGATTCCTTTATACATTTATATTTGAATAAGGATTGAGATTCACACCACAACATTTTATGGATGGAGAAAAAGGAAGCAAGAGAGAGGCGTGAATCAGCATATTCCCTTTATCTCTCACCTCTCTGTAACTTAGAAACACAGTGGTACAGGAATGAAACTGGAAATTTGGCGGCCAGACAAACACACAAACGTTATAAGTGTTATGGCAGTTTTTTAACATGCTGTATGAGATAATGTGAGGCGGAGTAGATGAGGCTATCAGCTTTTCAGCTGACTCAGCTGTCTCTGACCTGCACTTAAATTTGTGCATCTGCATGCTCACTTATGCAGCTTTGAATGTGTGTGTGTGTGTGTGTGTGTGTGTGTGTGTGTGT